CACATTCAACACTATACAAGTATATATAAAAGTTATCAGAATTTATACAATCAGTTATAAGTAATTATAAAAAAGGTTATAAATTATAAATAAATAATTCATTATATAAAAGACATATAGTTACCGTGAATATAATTTGGTATAACTTTAATCTCAACTTTAATGACCTATTCAAATAGAAACATCTTACAATTCACATTATATAATACACAAAGCCAAGGGACAAAATTGTTATTAAATCTATTCTCGATGACTCGAAGCATTTTTTTTTCAAATAAAACAGGACATATAGGGCTTATAAATAATACAAGGGTATAGAAAATATATAAATAAGTAAATACAAATATATTTTCAACCTAATGATTAATGATTATACTCGTTTAAATAAATAAATGATCTTTTTAAAATTACTTGTTTGTCTTTGCAAATTTGTATATTTAATATTTATCTAAAAGCGTACACTTACATAAATTACTGCACAACCTTTAAAATTAAGCTTTTAATATGTTATACAAATTCTTGATTCGATATAAATACACTTAAATAAAACTTTAAAATTAATGATCTTCCAAATTTCTGAGACAGCCATTTTGTTGAAAGAATTTGTTTTGATTATGAGAAATTTCATAAAAATTATCACAGGGATTAATTAATCTTATATATTAAACTACTTGGCTTTTAAATTTCACAATCCTATCGTCCAAAATACTCTAAATTCGCAAAAATCCGTAAAATATTCCCATAAAAACAAATCACAATTCACTTCCACTTCACAGAAACTGACAGACATTGCCAAATATGGAATGACGTTTATTTTTCAATTTATTTTACTGATCTAACTGATCCGGGTGACTTAGAAATTAAATTTTTATTAAATTATTTAATTATAATTGTTTCTGGCGAAAGCAACTTCATTTCAATGTTTATTCATAGAGTAACAAAGCACATCACTGTTAAATTATCAACATTTTATATAAATATTTATATTTTTCAACTACCGTAAAGTGGGGTGAATAGAAACATAGTGGTGAATAGAAACAAAATTTCTGAAAAAAATCAAATCACGATTAAAAATATTCAAAGTAAAAAGAGTCGATATATCTAATTTTTCTATCATTGGTAATACACAATAAAATGTAAAAACTATATTTTTATCTGTGTCAGTGACTTGATAAAATCATGATGAAATTAAAGTCCCTAGATGAATATCTAGGGACTTTAGATGGAATTTCTACGCAGCGCCATCTATCCCTCTACTGGCAGAAACTCAGCCGTGTTTCCAAAATTCAAATGGCAGTTTCATCCGCCTGAAATAAACCATATCGTCGGCTTTCTGACGAAAAGGCGTATCTCTATTTTTGCTACTTTTCAGGAGAGCAATTTAAAGAAAATCACTTACTTTATTTGGTCAATAAATGTAAAGTCTTTAATTTTTTAATAGTGTTTTTGTATTAACACTTAAACGGAGACATTGAGGAAACGTTCTCGAGATAAATTCTGCGTAAATTCTAATAAATAATTTCTTTGTAGTTGTTTAATAGAGATAGGCCTTTTTGTTATAATAATAATAAATTTATTTCCGAGCGAATAGTATACATACCCCCATGTAAAATAAATTTAAAAATGATGGTAAAGTGTTCTTAATAAGGAAAAAAAATACAATATTCACATTATGGAATACATACAAGAAAATACAATACATACATACAGAAAAAATCTGAAAATCACCAAAAAATCAGGAATTTATTCGTGTTGGATTAGATCAACTGAAAACAAAGACAATTTTCATTCCAGAAGCAAAGACAATAATCAATTAAAATACACTTATCTAGCTTATTTTAATAATATCTTTTTTAATCCAAAAATCCATTTTTTTAACTAAAATATTTTTAGTAATTATTCAGTTAATTGAGGGCATTAATACACGGCATTTAAACTCACGGTCCATTTAATAAAAACCAAACAAAACAAAAACAAAACATGTTTCTTCATTCGTGCCTTTTTGATACAAATAACTGTGGACTAACAGTTTCTGTTTTCCCTGTTAAATAATAACAAATTCGACTTCCATTCTACGTGTTTATGCAGGATGATGATAGGCACAATAAATAAATTTTTCCAAAAATTGACAGGGATGACAATGCCAATGACCTGACAATGATAATGAGATAAAAATTATTGTATTTTTAGGGCAAGTTTTTGGTTCGCTAAAATGTTCTAAGGGAAATTATAATTTCGGGAATTTTTCCATTAGGGCAATTTTCGTTTCGTTGTTTTGCTGTCGATCAATTTTTCTTCGGCCATTTATTCTCGGACAATCTTTTGCATACCCGATACAACTATGTGCAGAGTCTAGCTCATTCTAACAATGGTTTTTGGCAAAAAACAGGCTCAAAATCACACTGTAAAAGAGAGCTGCTGCCATGATAGAAGTTTTATTTTAATAATGTATACTCTAGCCTGAATAACCATCACTCTACAGCTACAATTTTCTGTGATTTCTCTAAGGCTTTCGATTGTGTAAATCATAATATCTTAATTAACAAATTGCAATACTATGGTTTCAGGGGAGTGCCGCTCGAATGGCTTAAGTCATATCTTGGCAACAGAAGGCAGCTTGTGAGGATTGATACGTCTATGTCTTCTTGTAAGCCTATAGAATGTGGTGTCCCTCAGGGTTCAGTACTTGGCCCTATTTTGTTTCTGGTGTTTATCAACGACATTGCAAATCTAGACATTAGCGGTAAAATCGGCCTCTTTGCGGACGATACTAGTTTCACTTGGAGCGGCCCAGATGTTGCGGCGCTATATGATACTATATCCAGTGACTTACGCACCATTAAGTCTTGGTGCGATTCTAATCTCCTATGCCTCAACCTATCAAAAACTAAAGTTTTGTCATATAAAAGTACTATACAACCTTTTGTACTTAATAACACTACTATTGACGTCGTGGACTCTGTGAAATTCTTAGGACTTCTTGTAGACAACTCGTTGAGATGGGACTTTCACATTGAAGCTCTATCAAAGAAACTAAGCGCTGCCTGTTTTGCGCTAAGATCAGTTTCTAAGAAACTTAACTTCTCAACCTCTAGAATAGCCTATTATGCCCTTTTTGAGTCACATCTTCGTTATGCTCTTCCATTCTGGGGTACTTGCTGCGCAACAAAATTTGATCGTGTTTTCATACTTCAGAAGAGAGCAGTTCGATATTTATTGGGACTAAACAGTAGAACTCACTGCCAGAATTTCTTTAAAAATTTGAAAATACTGACTCTTCTTTCTTTATTCATTTTTGAATCCGTTTGCTTAATCCGCAAGCACATATCTGCTATACCCGAAAGGCCATCTCATAACTATCCACTTAGGAATGCAGAGCACGATTTTTATCTGCCAACCCCGAGCTCAGAACTAGTTAAGCGTTCAATACTGTACAATGCCAAAAAAATGTACAATCATCTGCCTTTGAATATCATATCGCTTTCATTCTTTCCCGCATTTCGCAATGCTTTAAAATCATACCTACTGGAGAGAGCCCTATATGCGGTAAACGACTTTTTTGTTGATGTTTAATTATGAACAATTTTGTATTTTAAAATTTTGATCATCTCACACATTGGTCAAAGGTCAAGTATTTAATAATCTATAACTATAAAATTATATCTATTTACTGCGTACTGTTCTAAAATTGTCCATGTATATTCTTTTTGTAATTTTAAAGACTTAAATTTTTTTGAATTGTATTATTTGTATTGTGTATTTTTTGTTGTTTGTATTTTTTTGTGATTTTGTTGTTTGTGAGTGCTTTGTCGATGAAGCTGTTTTGGCTTTTTGCACAATAAAGCGTTGTTTGTTGTTTTGTTTGTTTGTTTGTTATTTTGTCCCAAGCAACCATCAGAAAATAATTAGGTAGAATGGTGTGATTTTCTCTCACATGCATTTTCATAACTTAAAACATAAGGACCTATCTCAAATTCCATCTCTCTTGTAGTATAACAATTGGTATAACGTCTCTTCGTCATAACGAAGAATTGTAGTATTTGAGATGGGACAAATTTTTAAACGAATATAAAATGAAAAAGGTACAATATTGAGATGCGCAAATTCGCTATGTTAAAATATGACCCATTTCACATGTCATGACGTTGATATCTCAAAATCGCCAAAAATCGAGATACGCCTTTTCGTCATAAAGCCGACGATATGCGGAAATATCAAAAGATGACATGTGACACGTTATTCTATTCAGAGTGTCATTTTCTATCGAATAAAATAAAAAAAACATAGAGAGTGCTATTTCAAAATCAAAAGTTGTAGTAATTTCCTGTGAAAGAGGAAGTGACCGAAAACAATTAAACACGTCAGTCAATCTTAATTTATGTCATATACTAACATACCAAATCTCGCTTTTTTATCTAAAAAAATTAAAAAAACATAGGGGTGAGCCACTTTTGAGACGCACCCGGTATAACTACTTACAAAGTTTTACGATTAAATATTTTTAAATTATTTGTAAAGTTTGAAATTGTTTAAAAAATATTTGTGACGTTTGAAAAAAAAATAACATGTTCTAGTCGGAGCAAAAATGACTTTTTGTGCTTCGTCTGTACCTGTAACGTCAAACGTATCGCGTCGCCAAAAAATGTGTCATTTTTACACCTAATAAAACATTATACATACTATTTTTTTAAAACATTTATATTATTTCATTTATTTTAATTATGATTATAATTAATAATAATAACCATTGTTGATGTTCGTCTGCGTCGAGACATACTGGACGTCTCTCCAACGTGAGGACAGATTACCAATTCTCTAGCCACTATGAGCGTCAATATATTAGCCAATGCACTGGCCAATGGCCAATTACAGATCTAACGCTTGGTCTTGCTTTTGTGCAAGATCAAGACCAATATCGGACATTAATGTTATTATTTACAAATAATAACATCAAAATTATAATCATTAAAAAATTACAAATGCATTTTTTTTTGTTTCAGTACTATCTCAAAAATGGGAGAAAACCTGGAGGCTCAGTACACCGACCGAATAGTCGAGATGTACAAAGACAAAACACTTTTCATCACAGGCGGTACCGGCTTTATGGGCAAAGTACTCATCGAGAAATTGTTACGTTGCTTCACCGACGTGAAGAAAATCTTCATGATGGTACGGACGAAAAAAGGAAAACATCCCAACGATCGGATAAAGGAAATATTTTCCGGACCCGTAAGTTGATAATAATTATTGTTTATTCTAAATTTATACAAGGTGAGTTTCCTACAATGTTCTCTATGGCTATCTCGGAAACTACTGGAGATAGAGAGTCGGTTAAATGGGGAAAGAATTGCAGTTTTGTGGGGTCATATTAAATATGCGCCTTTCAGATTTTTGAAAAAGTTTATGTCTTACTAGATATTTCGAAAAAATAAAACAAATTATAGCAATTTTAAAAATTGTTCTTAATTCCATTATAATCTATTTTAGACAAAAAGTTTTCAGATGAAAGTTGTAGATAATCACAACCCTAATGAGTTTGTGTTCTCCGATTTTTTCTAAGGCCTGTCATTTTTGAGATATAACACAAACATATGTTTTTTTTAATGGAAACCATAGTTGGCCATGACTTCATAAAAAGCGCCATTTTTAAGCTTTTCAGCGATGTAAGCTATAATATGTTTTTTTCAAAAAATTACTGAGTTATAGCCAATTCTTTTCTTTCTTGACTAATTTCACTTAGTTGGCATGGTGTTCTTATTTTGTTATGATTTATAACTTATAAAAAGACAAAATATATTATTAAACGGCTCTTTACAATTTACATTACCCCACAAACTCAAACTTAAAAAAATAATATCACTACATACACTTTAAGTTATTTTAGAAAATGTTAAAAAAATCCGCCATTGTTTTGAGTACATAAATGCATCTTTTTAAAACTGAATTTCTAGCTATTCTCACAGAACGACCAGTCGACTTAATTAAACTTCTCCTGTACTGCCCCTTCGAGTGCCTCTCTTAATTCATAAAGGTCCACCTTTTTCTATCCCTGAGTCTACATAATTATAATTCATTTCCACATTTAACCGACTCTCTATCTTCAGTAGTTTCCGAGATACCCATAGAGAACATCGTAGGAAACCCTGTATAGTATCTATATTATTCATTTCAACATAAGATATTTCAATGTCATTATAAATTTTACGTATGTCGGAGAACATATATATTTTTTCTTCTAAAAATCAAAGATACCTTGGATTTTATTTCTTTAACCTACTGGAAATATTTGATGATATTTGAAGTTTGCTTCCTGAATGTATAAAGCATATTAATTAATAAAATATATTTATATTATAATTAATAGCTTTACAAATTATTTAAAATTCACTTACAACTTTTTTAGTTAATTAATTTAAAACACCAAAAACTGTTCATTCATTGTTGCCAACAATGGACATATTCCGCGCCAGGCTGACTAAGAGGAATTTAAATTATACCGCTGGGGATTCCGGTGGTACCCCTTCTGTTGTTGTTGTACCCCTTGTGTAGTGATCCTTTAAGTTTATTTTCTTTTACTAGCAGTCAAACATTGTTCTTTTTAGAACCTCTTTTAGTGCAAAGTGTACAAGATAGCTTAATAGCCGTAAAAAACTCATCGCAACTTTATTAGAATATTTTGAACGGGAAAGCGGTAGTATGGCCCTTTATATCCCTTAAGTGCTGTCAAGAGGTCAGTTTTGTTGATGTAAGTAAGAACTGTTTATATATTTCTAATTAATTTATGTTTGTTTCCCCTAAAATATTTTGATTAAAAGAAAATATGTAAAAGTGGGCAACACTGTGCCGGTCAAGCTTAATCACGTGATTAAAAGTTTATTTGTTATGATCTATATGTAGGCCGCATAAAACATCTTTTTGTGGGTTAGACAAACTTTTCTTACGGGTAAAAAGCTACTAACAAACTAATTACTGTTCGGATGCAACGCAATGGTATTTTATAGTGATGGGATAACTCGAGCGAAAAATCGGCTTGAAATAAACTAAATCAAGCAAGAGATGAAGCGAATCGCTCGTGTCGCTCGGCGAAAAACCGTATTTTTAAATACGAACGATATTTCGCTCGATTCAATACTCGATTATTGAAATCGCTTTAAACTCGAGTACTCCATTATTAAAATTAATCGGTTTTTCCCATCACTATAGTATTTTACAGATTTATTTTTTAAATTTCCTTTTCTGTGGCGAAATATCTAAGTTTTTACGAGATATAAAAGGAATATAAATACAAATATATGATAAATAGTAATAATTAATAATGAATTAAATATAAAAGAATACTTTTTATTACTTTCTTTCCGAGGATGCACATAATTTTATTACTTTACTTTAAACTGTTACTTGTTTTAAGTACCTATATTGCTTATATAGGTACTCAAAATATATGTTAATTGAGCTTCCTTGCATAAAAGATAATGATGAATTGCAAAACGCCAAAATTTAAAAACTCGTATTTCTACAGATAGCCTTTAATTGTCTAACAGTTGACTTAAAGTATTATTTTGCAATATCATATAAACAAAAGTAGGTATAAATATTCGCATAAAAAATATGAGAAACCCATAAGTAATCATTATATTTATTTTCGCACTATTTCACAATAGCAATCAATCAAATGCATGTAATGGTGTACTTGTAATAAAATATCTTCAAATACATTTAAACTATAATATTATTATTTATTTCTACGTATGTACAAATAGGTATAGTTCATATCAAATAAACTTTTAATCACGTGATTAAGCTTGACCGGCACAGCGTTGCCCTCTTTTGCATATTTTCTTTTAATAAAAACATTTTAGGAAACAAAAATAAATTAATTATAAATAATAACAGCTATTATTTACATCAACAAAACTCACATTCTTAACAGCACTTAAGGGACATAAAGAGCCATTACTACCGCTTTTCTGTTCAAAATATTAACGGACCGAACTTTTATATTATACACTCATGGATAAAATTATTGAATATTTTAAATTTTATTTTAATGAATAATATGCAACAAACAAGAAAGAACAATGTATTTTACACATTTTAAATAAGGAATATTAAATTATTATTGACACTAAATCGTAAAAAAATAATGTTAAATTTATGAAAATGAAGGATACTTAGTTTCAACTTAAATGCTTCAGAAGTAAATAAGTAAAACCTTTTGAATGGAAAAATATAGGGATTAGTTAATAACGAGTATTTCCACCTCCAGCTCTAATTAGTGCTTGCATCCTTCTCGGCATGCTACTAAATAGAGTTTAAATATATTCTTGAGGAATTGCATTCCACTCGTGTTGTATCGCATATCGAAGCTCTTCTAGTGTATTTGAAACAGGATTTCTTCGTCGTATGCGACGTTTTAGCTCCTCCCACAAATGCTCAATGGGATTTAAATCTGGGCTATATGGTGGCCAATCTAATCTTTGAATCTGGACTACATCAAGATAATTAGTCACTATGCTAGCTGCATGTGCTCGAGCATTATCGTGCATAAATAGAAATCTGTCATATCCAATGACTAATAACTAATAACTGACTAATACTAATAACAGTCTGTATAAGGTTGCAGCTTCTGTATCGTTCCCCGACTCTTCTATTGACATTATTTCGCCCATCAGTGAATAGAACTTTTTTCCAGTCCTCGATATTCCACTGAATATGTGTTCTGGCAAATTGCAATCGACCAGTTTTGTGATTTTGGAGAAGACGTGGAACTTTGGCAGGTCGTCTTGGCTTTAAACCCACTTCCTTTAATCTTCTTCTAACCGTTCTCGAACTAACATTAACTTGTCTAACTTTTAGTAACTCATTTTTGAGGTATGTGGATGTCAATGTGCGATTTCGAGTAGAATTAAGTACAACAAAACGGTCATCAATTGCCGATGTACACCTTTTGCGTCCTTGGCCGCGTCTTCGTACAAAATCTCCAGTCTCTTGATATCTTTTTAAAACATTTCATTCCGTAGACTGACCTCTTCTAAGACGCCGACCGATTTCTGTTTGTCTATATCCTTCCTTATACAAAGTTACAATTTGTGCCGCTTCAGCCTCACTGCAATACCTCACTGGTGGCATATTATTCCTTTTAAAGATCACTAACAAATTACTTAAATTCACTACAAATAACTTAATTCAATATAATTCTTGATTTATGTGTAAGGAATTTTTAAATCTCAAAGAGAGCTATAGAAAATATACGCCATTGAAATTAATTAAATGTCAAAATATTTTAAAACAAATGAATATAATCGCCTACTAAACGAATAACATTAGCAAATTTCTAAATTTACAACGATAATATAGAATTTTGTTCGAGTAATAGTGATAACAAAAAATATTCGATAATTTTGTCCATGAGTGCATTAATTTTTTAATATAATAAAAACTGATGCATTTAATTTAATTTAAAGATTCCTTTCTTCATTTAGAGCACCTAAATGAAAGGTTGTTTTTAAAAGATTTTTTTAATAATTATTAATTTTATTTTTAGTTCATAGCTCGTCAAACCATGTCACCTTTTACGGGACTCAAGTTCTATCAATAAATCAATTTAAATAGGTTTGTTTTCCATATACCTCACGTATTTTTAGAAATCGTAATGTGGTAAAAAGTATTTCCTATATACGTTCATAGAAATCTATTAAAATTTGCTTTGTGCAATCCATAATTAATAATTTACCATTCTTGAATTTTGAAATTAAAAAATTAATACTTTGTTTTGCGAAATACCCATTTTTATATGTAATTAGCTACGAGGTGACATGACGTCAATTATCATTAAACCTATTAATTATTTTATTACTATAATGACTAATTAATTATGAGACATTTCTTGCTAGACACATTATTTGAATTAATAATTTTCTAAAATATTAAATAGTCTATTATAAAGTTTTAGTACCTTAGTATTCGTATCTATTTTTAAAAGTTTAAGTACTCGCGTGGTATATTTTAATACCCTATTTAATTTTTGATGCGAAACATAAGAAAAAACGCGAAACAAAACGAAGAAAGAAAACTTGTGTGCACTATGTGCGCATATTTGAAGTAAAACTTCTCACTAACAGCAATTAAATTCAAGGCTTTGGAGGAAATGTTTGAAAAAGTGTAGTTTGAAATGTTGAAGAAGTAATAAATTAAAAATTAATAAATAATTTGATCCACGTTCACAAAAT